GTAGACTGCCTCATCTTTCTGCCTCCAAAGAGTCGGTGGGTTCGAACCCCTGACCTCTCAGTGAGGAGCCCAAAGCATAGCGCACTGTGCCACCAAGGTCCTGTTCTAAGGCAGACATCCCTTTATCTGGTTACACTGATGCCTGTAGGGCGTGGTTGCCCCCGTCTTCAGTGCTGACACAGGCAGCAGGGAACTCTTCTAGCCAACTGGCTCTTGACTTTTACTTTTCAGATAAAATTACAGAGCTGCTGGCTCCAGGGACAGTTGATTCCATGACTAACCTGGTTCTCGTCAATGCCATCTACTTCAAAGGAACCTGGAACCATCAGTTTAACAAAGAGCACACCAAGGAAAGACCTTTTAAAATCAACAAGGTGAGTATTCCACAACAACACAGGGCGTGCTTGGGAAAGCCCCCTGCTCATAGTTAGTGTGAACTTTCCCTTCCCTTTGTCAGCTGACTTCTCTGACAAGCCTGGGGCTTTTCTCCTTTCTCCTTTTTTGTGTTTCCTACCAAAGGTCACACACACACACACACACACACACACACACACACACACACCATCCCCCATCATCTCTCTGTATCACAAATCTGATTGTGTTCACAGACTTAGCATTCGACTTGGTTTCCTTCCCAAATTGAGCCAAGAGTTTAAGCTCCCTCGTCTGCTGTGTGAGCCCCTTTGCAATCTGGTCCCACCTCATTGTTTATGCCATTTCCCATCAGTCTCTGTGCTCGCCGTCCTTTCTCTGAGAGTCTTCCTTGACCTCTCTCCTCAGGTCGGGTTCCCACACCCCTCTGGCTCAACCATCACAGCTTCACCCGAGCACCAGTCCTAGATGACATGTCCTTGACCCCACCCTGCAGAGTACCAAGTGAGGCCAGAGACCGGTGACTTACACATTGTACCACATAGCTAGTGATTAATCAGTACTGAACAGATTCATAATCCCCAGTCTTCTTTTTCCATAAAGAGCACAGAAGCACAGCATTTTGTGTAATAGCAGATAGATGAACACAAGGACATGCGTAGGATAGACACAGAGTTTAGATTCTTCCAGCTGTGAAGATACTCTTTGCTTCATTAGTCACATCAAATCCAGTTTATTTTCCCCCCTTTTTAAAAAAAATTAACTCTAAGTATAGAAGGTTTTTTTCACACACAAAAGTACACCGAATGGAATCGTCCTGGTGTGTTCTCGCCCTGAAGTAGGTCTTCTAGGCAAGCTTCATGTCTTCCCTGGAGCTTGAGTGGGAGTTATACTGTCCTGGTCTCCCCCGACAAATGTCTCTCTCCTTGGAGCGCTGCGTTGGCTGGACAGTTCGCCTCCATGTTTTCACTGTGGAGTCCAGGAGGCAGTGACCGCCGGAGAGCAGGCAAGACGTTGGACTAGAGATGTCCATGTTTTAACTCAAGAGACTGGGTGAGATCCTCAGAAACAATAAATGTAGGCATTGAGCCCTGGGCCCCCAGGACTTGGAAGTGGAGGTAAAGAAGACAAGGTGGCAAAGGAGTGGGCCGACCTGAGGCGCTGGAAGCCAGGGTAGGAAAGTGGCCCCAGTAAGAAAGAGCCTACTATGTGTCAGCTGGGTAGTGTTTCATGGTATGGTTTATCCATTTCCTTTACAGAAGGAGGAGAAGCTTGTGCAAATGATGTTCAAGAAATCTACTTTTAAAATGACCTACATAGGAGAAATATTCACCAAAATCCTAGTGCTTCCCTATGTCATGAAGGAGCTGAACATGATCATCATGCTTCCAGATGAGGGCACCGAGTTGAGCACGGTAATGGGGGTTCCCACCGGATGGTCTTTGGCGATGGAGTCGTGGCATCTGCTCAGAGAGTGGCTTTGAGATTTCTGCTGTCGCCTCGCTCCTCGCTCCCCAACCCAGGGCTTTTGGTACAAGCAACTTCCAGAGGCTTTTAGTGACTTTCTAGAACTTGGAAGTTTAGGGAGTAAAGTCCTGGGGTGGGAGCACCAGAGGAGACCTAAGTAGATGGTCTTGGGAAAAGGCTTCCCGGCTTAGCTCTAACGTGACACTCATTTCTGATTGAGCATCATCACATTCGCTCTGTAAAAAAACAAAAAGTCATGATATGAAGAGACATTGATGCTACTTTAAAGATATTTAAGCCAGTCCCAGTTTGAAGAGAGACTATTTCAGTTGTGCTTTACTGCCTTGGGGTAAATAAGTGCAGTGTGAGGGGAGGAATGCTGTACACAGGAGGTGGCTCTTCCTGGCCTGTTCAGATAATAGAAGCACAGTGTGGCCCAGCGAATGAAGCTTGCCATGTGCGAAAGCCTTTTCTCTGAATGGAACAAATCACAGGGTAGAGAAAGGGTTTGGAAAGGAGGTTCCAGTTGAACAGAGACTATTAGGAGCATAAATGCTCCTTATTTGTACTGTGTATCTAAAACAGACATAGACAGGAGGTAAATAAATACCCATACATATGCAAAGAGTTTTTACAAATAAATAAGAAAAAAAAGAGTAAGTAGAAAAACATGCTTAGGAGCCATTACACATATGAAAATATAATTGTCCACAGTCATACAAGTGAAAAGATCCAAAACCATGTTTCACTTTCTAAGCTATTAAATTATGAGGCTGGTAATATTCATTATTAATGAGGATGAGGAGAGAAAGGCTTTCATCATCTGTGACTTGAGTTTAAACTGCTGCAGCTTTTTTGAGAGTGAAATTGAGCAATTTCTATGAAAAAAAGAAATGTGAATATACATACTCTTTGGCATAGCAGTTCCACCTAATGGTAGTGCCGGTTTGCACAGGTCCACAAAGATATCTGACATGGAATTGTCTATAATGGCAAAGGTGCTGACAGCAACCTTTCTCTCTGTGCAAATGGGGAAATAAGTCATGATCTATCCCTGCTGTGAATGCTTGTGATACAGTACTAAGATTCAGGAGAGCTATGAACGATGGAAATGGAGAGATTTCCCAGACAGAAACCAAAAAACCCAAACTCGCTGCCCTTGAGTGTTGATTCCCACTCATAGTGATCCCGTATGACAGGGCACAACTGCCCCTTGTAGGTTTCTGAGAATGTAAATCTTAATGGGAGTAGAAAGCTTCCTCTTTCTCCTGGAAGAGAGCTGGTGGCTTCAAACCGCAGACCTTGTGGTTAGCAGCCCAGCAGACTCACTGGAATAATTGCAGAAAAAAATAATGATCAGTACTTACCAGTTATTTTATGCAGGTATTTTTCTAATACTTTATATTAACTGATTTACTTGTAACACAACTTGCAAGGTAGGAATGGTTTATTATCCCATCTTATGGATGAGGAAACCGAGGTCCAGAGTGGTTAAATAATTGGCTCAACATCTTATCAAACCAGTAGACTGGCTCCCCACTCCTAACCACTAGCCGTCCTGCCATTCCTTGATGAAACAATTGAGGGTACACCAAGGGGCTGTATGTACGCATTAAGCAAAAAAGCCTAGAAGAAATTGCACCCCATTCCTCCCAAAAAACAAAACATTGTTAGCTTTAGGGAATTGGGTTGAGGTGGAAATTTTTTCATTGTTTCTTTCTATACCACTCACAATAAGCACATACTACTTTAAAACATTAAAACAGATTTTTAAAAGATAGCACTGTTCTCAAGATCACAAGGCTCTGAGCAGTATGGAGAGGTCGGAGTTGTAAAGCAGTAATTACAGTGCAGGTGGTTGCCAAGTGCAGCTGTGGAGGTGCAGACAAAGTGGCTGCCCAGAGGAGTATGCCAGCCTTTGAACAGCCCTTGGCAGGTGGGGCTCAGCAGGGAGGGCACCGTGGGAAGTAAGTGTGTGCAGGGTGTGCTCATGGGGCAGTTTGCGGCAGAAGGCAGAGTCTGCGTGGAGAAGAAGCTGAAGGATCAGTCTGGAGTCAGAGGGAACTTGCCTCAGAGGCCATGAGAGTTGGGGCCACGTTTCCTAAAGATTCTCAGGATGCTCCTTAAACACAGAGTGTTGCTGGTGGAATAAGTTTGTGGACACAGGCCCTCTATTCTCTTCTGGGAAATGCAAAGGTACATTTTCCTGTATTAAAGGTTTTGGCAAACCTTGCAGGGAAAGACACTTTTAAAGGCTGCCTTAAACTATGTTTCCCTAGCGTACTTGACCATGTCCCTTTCCGCTCTCTTGTCACACCCAGCGCCTCCCAGTGGGGATGGTGTTCTGAACACTGCAGTCACTTTAGAAAATGACATTATCTGATAAAGACTCAGGTTGGCATTAGGCCATGTCAATGTTCTACTTTACAGATATAGAGGGTGATTTCCACCCTGCATCCCCGCCCTTAGCCATTTCCTCCTCTAGAAAATGGTGATGGTGCCTAAGGAGGAGGGTGGCCAGAGGGTAGAGAGGTGTCTATAACTCATTTGCTTAATAAAGCACAGAGTAAACCAAACGCACTGCGATCGACTCAATTCAGGACTTATAGTGACTTTGTAGGTAGAACTGCCCCTGCGGGTTTCTACAGGGTATGACAGCAGAAGGCCTCGTCTTTCTCCCAAGGAGTGGCTAGTGGTTTTGAACTGCTGACCTTGTGGTTAGCAGTCCAATTCATAACCCACTATGCCACCAGGGTAGCCGTTGAATAAAGACTCGTAGTCTTCATCTCAACCTCGCCTGTGGAGCTTCTCTAATGGGAATCATGTGGGAACCTTGTGAAAGATGTAGATTGCGAAACAACCTGGTGAGGCTCAGGCTGCTGATCCCTAGACCTCACTCCAAGGATTACCAGGTAGAGAATCAGTGATGGCGAACCAAGACATGGATGAATTGACAGGAAGATGAAAGGCGCTGACGGGTCAGACAGGAGCTGCTGTGGCATTCCAAGTAAGGAGTGACAGGGTCCTGCGTGAAGGCAGTGGCAGAGAGACAGGAAGGGGCAGAGTTGGTAGAGATTTGGGACGTTAAGTCAACATACCATGGTCAGACTTGTTGGAAGGAGGCAGAGGGAAGAGACAGGCAACCCTGACATTCCCACCTTTTTCTGCCTTCGAACAGGTAGAACCTCAAACTAAGAGCGGACGGCCCTTCTCTCCCAAGTGGAGCCTGACCTGCGCCTGATTTAAGTGTAGCTCTTAAAGAACAGATTTATAGTTCTGGATTCAAGGAATCAGGGAAGAGATGTGAGCTCATCTTTTAGTTGAATGGATGAGCATTGTTGGGCTCTCTTCTACGTTGGCTGTCCAATATAGTAGCCATAGCCACAGATGGCTAAACAAACTTTATTAAAATTAAGTAATATAAAAACAAATTCTAGTCTTCCCCGGCACCACCAACCTTCTGTGTGTTCAGTAGCCCCCTGTGGCTCATGGCTACCGTGTTAGGCAACAGGACTGTGGGGCATTGTGGGAAACCCTCCTGCACAGCACCATTGCAGATGTTGAACTCTTCTCCTCTCTCCTTCCAGTTGGAGAAAGAACTTACCTATGAGAAATTCGTGGAGTGGACAAGGCCAGACATGCTGGACGAGGAAGAGGTGGAAGTCTTCCTCCCTAGATTCAAGCTGGAGGAGCGTTACGACATGGAAGATGTCCTTCGCAGTCTGGGCATGACCGATGCCTTTGACCAGGGCAAGGCAGATTTCTCGGGAATATCGTCCAGGAGGAGCCTGCATCTGTCCAAGGTTGTGCACAAGGCTTTTGTGGAGGTCAACGAGGAAGGCACCGAAGCAGCCGCCGCCACGGCGGCCGTCATGATGATGCGCTGCATACGGATCACCCCCCGGTTCTGTGCCGACCACCCCTTCCTCTTCTTCATCCACCATACCAAGACCAAAGAGATTCTGTTCTGCGGCCGGGTCTGCTCCCCGTAAGGAAGAGGAGGCATTGGTTGTAGCCCTTCTCCTTGCTCCTCCCCTCCTGCCCTTCCTCTCAAACTTCCCAATGGGCCCCGAGGCCCGAGGTGACCTTATTACTACAGTGGTGACAATTCAGAATTAAAGAGCCTGATTTTGACATCCTCGGTTCAGAACTTGTGTGTGTTTATGGGTTCAGTGTTTTTCTAGGTTCTCAGATGGAATTTTCCGAGGGTTGGTAGCCAAGTTGGCTGTGGTAGCCTTGCCGACTTGGCAGAAGATTCTGTTCAGAATGACGTCTTCTCCTCACTGCCCTCATTCCCACACACGGCATCCCAGCTCTCCCAGGGACTGCCTGGGTATTCCTTTCTGCCAAGTGCCGGGGCCCAGCCCGGGTACGATGTTGCGCTTCCCCTGTACAAGGAGATCAATGCTACTCTCCCCTCTTTCCTATCCAGCAGCATCCACTCAATCTGAGTGTATCTTCAACGTAGGCTCCGCAGAGTACCGTTCGCTTTAAGAGCCTGCGTGCTTTCAGTGAAGGATCTGGAATTGAAATCCAGGGTCAGGTCTCAGAAAGGCTCAGTGGGGAGCCCTGGTCCCAAACTCCATACCAGCACTTCAGAATGCAGTACGGGCGGGAGAGCAGCCCTGCCTGCAGAAGGTGGAAACCCAGGCCCCTTTCGTTTGCGTGTTTGCTTTTATTGTGGTTTGTTTTCACATGGTCTGTGGCACACATGCCCATTCACATGCACAACACTTCCACCTGCCCTGGAAACGTCAGATCACTTCCAGGTGGCTGGGCATGTCCCATCCACAGAGATGTAGTTTTAGACCATGTCATGAGTCAATGTCAGGAGACCTTCTGGCTGGCTTCAAGGACGGACAAAGGGTGGCAGATGTTTCACTGGTCGCAGGTGCTATTTGTTCACATGCGGGAACTGTTTGGTGACTTGGGAACCAATGATGCATGAGACTGACTAGGACAAGCTGTGCTGTTTGCTGGGAGCAGCTGGGCAGCCTGCTCCACTGGCACAGCAGCTCTCAGGAGGAACCTAGACCCTTTCCCTTAACCGACCCGACTCCTATTTCCGTGCTGTAGCTGATTCACTTGCCCTCCACCCCAGGCCCACACCCTGCTCATGCCGAGAGGGGCACCAAGGAGCAGAAGGAAGTGTGGTCACGACAGTGGGTCAAAAAGAGAAGAGCAGTCAGAGGGACTGGGGGTTTAGGCACACTCGTTGTTCTCCCACCTCTTTTCTTTGTGTAATATGAAGAAAGGGAGACTCAGACAGAGGATTCAAGGTGGGGGAGTCATCAGTACATGTTGCTTCCACAGTAGTAGGGTGTCACCCCCCAGGGGTGGGGGAGGGAGGCAAGCCATCATAAACGGAGTTCAGGGAAATGCTGCGTAGGGGCTAGTTGCCTGTGTGCAAGTGGAAGGGACTAACCAAGCAGTAGGATTTTTTTTTTAACTTTACCTGCGATACAGACTTTAGACTACATCAGCACAGATGTCATGAACATGCACAGCAGCAGTCCCTCCTGTTAAGACTATAAAAAAACAAACCCAAACCCAACCCTCCTGCTGTCAAGCAGGACAAGCTGTGGCCCATTAGGCTAGGCTGGCGTCCTTCCCCAGGGAGTTTCTGAGACTAATTGCTAATGAGAGGAGAGAGCCTCATCTTTATCCCAAGGAGCACTGGTTGATTAGCAGCCCAATGCACTATGCCACCAGAGCGCTTTGTTATGAGGATCTCACTGCCATCAAGTGCCTGCCAACTCATAAGGACCCTATTGGGCTGGCTGGACCTGCCCCTGTGGATTTCCCAGAATGCACCTGCTGATGGGAGTAACAGGCCTCTTTCTCCCTTGCAGTGAGTGGTGGTTTCAAACTGGCAGCCTTGTGGATCGCAGCACGCTGCACAACCACTACACCGCCAGGACGCTTCGCCATGGCCATCCTGTAGAAAGCACCGGACACAGGACAAGCTGTGATTCAACCTGGCCCAGAAGGCTCTTCAGAGCCTCCCAGGCTCCTCACTGCAGCAGTCTCAAATTGGCTTTGAAGAGTTACTACTCAGTCTGGCATTACATCGGAGGCCAAGGCAAAAGATGCTCTCCTATCTTGGATGAAATGGCACCCAGAGCTCCGCCCACTGCGTGGCACCAGGTTTCCTATCAGCATCCTAGAGCCCAGCTGCTAACTGAAAGGTCAGCCTTGGCATCCCTCAGGGGCTCCTCAAAAGAAAGCCTGGTCATGGACTCCTGAAAAAGCTACCACGGAAAACCGGGGAAGCGCAGTTCTCTTCTGACGCGCCGAGGTCTCCGTGAGCCGGGGACAGCATCGTGGCATCTCGCGCTGCAGCTGATAGGAATTAATTCTGGGGAAAAGTCAATTTCCCCCAACCTCATTCATTCCTGTTTACTGAGCACCTGCTTTGTGATGGGTGCTTTACAATGATGTTTTCACTTACTGCTCAGCAGCAACCAGAACCCTGAGGGGGCCATGGCTGAAATGTTAGCCTGCTAACTGCAAGGTAGATGGTTCGAAGCCACTCCAGGGAGAAAGAGTAGTCTCTCTGCTCCTATAAAGATTTAAAGCCTCAGAAATCCTAAGGAGCAGTTGTACTCTGTTAAAAAAATTTTTTTTAAAGGGATGGGGGGTGGCTATGAGTTGGGCTTGATTCCATCTCAGTGGGTTTGGGTTTTGTTTTCAGTAATAAACAAACCCGGGAGGAGTCCCAGACCCAGGAGGTTAAGTAACTTGAGCAGGTTCTTGCAGCCAGGATGGGGACAGAGTCAGACCTGTTGTCAGGTGTGGGGACACCTAAGCTTCTGTTCCTTCCAGCGGGCTGAGTTGCCCCAGAATATAAAAGTGGGGAATGGGTTGGTGGAAACCGCAGTTCTCAGCAAAGGCAGCTGGCGGTGCCCTGTAGGCAGGGCTGGACCAGCAAACCTCAGTTCTCAGGTCATGCTCTCCTATTAGGAAACATACTTGGGGATTTCCTGCGGAAAAGCACTTGGAATCCGATCCCTGGAGATGGTCTCTCAGCGGGGCTTTTTTTTTTTTCCGGTTGGGAAATTTTGGATGACATCTTCAATCTCTTCTTTTGTTTCCTGTCTGCGTAAATATTCTTCCTCTATGATAGTTTAGGTGGGTCTGGACAGCTTTTGGTTTGCAATTTGGGGGGAGTACAAATTTTTGTAGTATTCAATTATGACCCTCTTTTTCTCTGTTGGATCTGATGTCATGCTTCCAACATCAGTTTTCATTTTGTACTTTTGAAAGAGACATTGCTATTTCCTCATTAACATCTTCTGATTTTGTCCACACAAGAGAATAGTTAAAGGAAATAGAGGAAAGAAATAGGAGACAAGGGGCATTTATAGAGGTCTAAATACAGGCATGTGCATATGTAAATATATTTATATATGAGGATGGGGAAATAGATCTATGTGCATATACTTATAGGTTTAGTATTAAGCTAGCAGATGGACCTCAGGCCTCTACTCAAGTACTCCCTCAATGCAAGAGCACTTTGTTCTATTAAACTGATATTCCATGATGCTCACCTTCCTGACACAATCGCTGAAGACAAAATGGGTACATAAGCAAATGTGCCTGGCTATGAAAAGATATAGCATCTGGGGTCTTAAAGGCTTGAAGCTAAACAAGTGACCATCTAGCTGAGAAGCAACAAAGCCCACATGGAAGAAGCACACCAGCCTGTGTGATCACGAGGTGT